CCCGGGGGCTACTCGGACCCGGTAGGCGGAGACCCCCGCCCAGCCCGGAAAGTTCGTATGACTGTGCGTACCCCCCCCCCCCCATCCCGCCGGTCAGGGGGGTGGGGGGACCATGGGAGATCCCTCCTCCGGCGCGCGGCGGCGGCGGTATCTAGGCCAGTGCCAATCTAGCAGGCGCTCACGTCCCAGAGTGCTGCCCCCCCCCCCCCCCTTCCCCACCAAGGCAGCCCATGTGTATCGTAAGCGGGACGCCGGGCGGGCGGAGGAATACACGCGGGACACACCATTCTCGGGGGGGGGGGGGGGGGGGGGGGGGGGGGGGGGGGGGGGGGGGGGGGGGGGGGGGGGGGGGGGGGCGACCCCGGGGATCGGGGCTTTGGCGAGGGCCGGGAATTCCACATTTTGGGCGTCCCCAGCGCTCTCCCCCCCTTCTTCCACCCCCGTCCCCCGCCGGGGCCCCCCGTTCGGCGGGTTGGGGAAAAAGGGCGCCGGGGGGGGGGGGCCCGCGCGGGCGGGGGGGGGGGGGAGGGGGGCGAGCACAAAATGAACGGGGACGACGGAGGGAGAGACCGGGGGCGGGCAAACAGACCTCCGACGGCGGAAGGCTCCCCCCCCCCCCCCCGGAGGGGCGCAGCGTGGCCTCTGGAACTGGGCACCCCGTGTTGCCGGGCACCGCCCCGGGGCCGCCACCCCTGCATGTGATCCACACTCGCGGCGCATGAAGGCGCCTCGGTGATGAGTTCAAAGCATCGGGGGGAGGGGGGGCGTCGCCGCCCATGGAACCCTCTGGGCGGATCCCGCCCTGTGGGGTGCATCGGGGTCGGGGTGGGGTCGCCTCGGCGCGGTCGCGAAAAAGCCTCCAAAAAGCCAAGACAAAATGTCCCGCCGAGGAGGCCCAAGTTGGTCATCGTAAGTTATATCATAATGCCCTTTTGTTGGGCCCAATTGCATGAATGCTATTTCTTGAGAATGCGCCTGAGCATGCTGTGAGAAAGACTATTTGGGGTATATTTTCCGGCACCAACCTACCGACAGGTTGAGTGGTGTAATGGTTATCACGGCAGACTCTGAATCTGTCAATCCGAGTTCGATTCTCGGCTCGACCTTGCTTTTTGGATTTCGCCTCGGATGACGACGCGTCTGGGCGCCCTCGTCCAGTGTCCCCCCCCCCCCCCGGCCCGTGTGTGTGTGTGTCTCTCTCTCCTTTGTGCTGACTTTCCGGGGCGGGGGGCGGCGCCCCCTTCTTTTTTGGCACCGTGTACGTGGCTGGACTGCGAAGCAGGCCAGAGTCCCTGGGTACAGTGGCTGTGCGTCCGCTGCCCGTCAGCACTGTCC